ATTGATATTAAATAAATTGAGCATAAATTAAATTTTTTTATTGTTTTTAATTTTTGTTATTTATTTATTTATTTTTTTTTTTGGTTCACTAAAATATTTGCTAACATTATTTTAAAGGATTTCATTCGCTGTATAATTATTTTCAATATAATTTCGGAATTTTTTTCCAACTTACCTTAATTGAAATTTAATTTCCACTAATATAAGGCACATGCATACAGGTCTGGTAGATTTTTCCACTTTTAAAGTAATTAATTTTTTAATGCACTTTCTTTGAATTTATTAATGGATTTATATTATTTCATATATTTCTTAATTTTTTTGCTGATGCGAAAATTTTCACTTAACTGGACAATTCATTGATTTCCATTTAATTTCGATAATGAAATTAACCCACCAACACAATAACAACAATAATTATGAATTGAGTAACGTCGATATGTGGCTGTGGTGGTGATGGTGGGTGAATGTCATCTGAGCTGCAGTGCAAGCCCAGTAGATTGCGCTGAAACAGCTGTTTAACCACAAATGATAATCAAAAGGAAAACAATTAATAACACATCAATGGATTATTATCGCAAGATCATCACTTGTTTGTTGGCGAATATGCAGGTGAAAGAGAGCACGAAATAATAAAATTGTTATTGCGGTAAATAGCAACATAGTATATTTTCCTTCTTTGGTTATTATGGAGTTCTACAATTTAATTTGAGATCCCCCATCTCCTCCATCTTTACAAATAAACAGTTACCATCTTTACAAAATACAAGTTGTAACCGATTGCAGCTTCTTCGCAATAATTCAATGACAGTTGACATTGACACATATTTCAAGGTTTGTTTATCTCTCACAAATCAAATAGACAAACACATTGGGAATGTCCGAAAAGTAAGTCAAACGAAAACAAAACTTTACGATACAAATTACCTAGGTTTTGTTTTGTTTTTGTTGTTTTCTTGCATTGAATTCAACACCTTTTTGGTCTCACGTTTATTTATTGTTTTCTTGTGATTTTTAAAGTTCAAGTGTTTTGAGTTTTGTCATCATGGCTGGCTACTGCCCAACCAACATCGCAACACCATATTGCGCGACTCATAATCTCAATATCATTTCACTTCATCGGCATTGTCGTGGCTTTTTTTCTTAGACGATTGTCATTGGCAAAGTAAATGAACGATGAATGGATGGATGGCAGATCGACACCTTTTTTTACACCGGTATGTATTGTTGAAAATTATGAAAACAATTATCACACATGGCTTATTATAATTTGTGACGGGCGTAAGGTACAGTGGCTCAAAGCAAAGTCTATGGGGGAATACTGATTAAATTAGGTCTCTATCAACGACCCAATCCTCTTTTTGGGAATCAACTTAGAAATACGAATTAAACCAAGTAAAAACTTCGGCCGGCGGGTTTTTTACACTCTACCAATAGGTGAACGTTTAAAATAACAGTAATCCTTCGGGACTTTCAAAATGACGGGCTAAGGCATATTAATTATATGGTAGGAAGATATGAAGAACCAAATTAGGTTAAAATATGTGGCCAAAATCTAATTTTATTTCGTGGTGTGCAAACGAAATGACAAATTTAATATACACTTCACCTGGTGGAGTTGGAGAAACCCTGAGCCCTCACATTGATTCAAGCCAGGCCTTTTTGACCGGTTAAAATGTGGATTTTGTGGGTTATCTGCAATATATATTAAATACCAAAAAAACAATGTGATCAACATGGTCAAGCATGGTGGAGGAGGAGTCATGGTGTGGGGCTGTATGTCTTCAGCTTCGTTTTCATAGAGGGAAAAATGGACAAAAACGTATACCTAAATATTTTGAAGAAACATCTATTACAGAGCGCGGAAAAGCAAGGTCTTGTAGAAAGTCAAGACAATAATTCCAAACATACTGCCCACAACGTACGAATATGGAGAGGCTATAATTCTCATGGAGAAAATGTACACTTTATGGCGTCTCCAGTGAATATTTTGGATATTTGTTTTCAATAGACGTATCCCAATTGCTAACAGCCCTAATCCTTTAAATTTATTGACTTATCTTTAATTTTTATTTATTTTTTCTCCCCCATAAAAATCGCCTTTGATCCACTGTCAAAAACGTCTACAAATCTAACATCTATTGTGTGTGTGCGGTGTAACATTTTAATTTATTATTTTGCAATCTAAATACTCAGTGAAGTAAGGAATGAATTAAAATCAACAACAAAACAAAACTCCCACATGCAGTTAAAGTTATTCACTCACCCATTACTCATAGTGGAAGTTAAGAAAATCTTTAGCACAATCGCCTTGTTTGTACTGCAGTAAGAAAGACCTTCAACTATTCTTTTGAATATTTCATGACTTAAATGAAAAACCCACTATCCACTTAAAACACGGCAATGATTGAAATAAATGCCCTCACACAAAAACATATTCTTGGAGAATTTTAATGAGTTCGATTGTCTTCGTGTGGCATGGTAAACATGGTAAACTGAAGTTGGATTTTTTTTATCAGTACTAACGAAATGGGTTGCAGCAATTCGATTTTTTATGTATCGTAACGAAAAAGGAATAATAAATTCTAAATTGTCACTTCTTATGGAACAAATTTTTGCACTGTTAAAAATCATAAAGAACAGATGGTAGGATATTTTATTAGATCTGACACAGATTCTCCAACCCCACTGCTGGTATTTTAGATAAAGTAGAAGTATCCACTCGGTTTTTTTTCTTATATGAGAACATGAACATCCTTACTCAAAGTTAATGAAATTAAATAACCAATATTTATATAAATGCAATATAAAAAATAATTATTATTACACAAAATCAAATTTAGCCTCACTGTATTATTTACAACTTAAGGGAACCCCACCCCCCCTTTTCTGGATTTTTTTTTTTCAAGATTTTCAATGGGCTGGTAAATCAATACCAATGCTTGTTAAGGTTTGTAACTTTGCACATATATATTTGAAGATTTAGAAGGGAATAAAATAATTTACAAAAAAAAAAAATCGGAGTCCGAAAATTCCAACGTTGTTAGAAAGAGTACATGTCTGGCTCTCGTATGAACTAGGATTATTGACTTCTTGAGATTTTCATATGAAATTTTGTAGGGACATTCTTGAATTAGTGTAGATTCGAATTAAATCAAAAAAAATTTTTTTTTTGACCCCGAGAATCGGGGGTCCCCTTAATAACGGTTAAAAATCAATCTTCTCATGGAATATTAAGTTAAATATTGCTTTTGATATTTTTGTACATTTTACACGTGAGTTTTCTTATTTGGATGTCTATCGTGAGAATTTGAGACCATGAGACGCCACACAACGATTGCCGATAGAATATTAGTTTTTCAACATGCTGAACTAGGAAAATCTCAACGGAAAATAGCGGAAATAAGAGAGCAATTCGGAAAGTTCTTAGCCTAGCACAAAAAGTGTGGTATAAACTGAAAAAAACGTAAGTGTTTTAGAAACTTCCATCTCTGTTGTGAACACATGTTAAATTTTGTTTCGATCTGGCAACATAAGTTCCCGATCGTTCGAGAATGGATGATTTATAGTTATTCAAAAGTGATCAAACACCTCCTCAGTCCCCGGATTTTATTCTTATATAGAAATTCTGGGGTATTTTGGAGAAAATATTAGAAGCTATAACATCCAAAGCATACCAAGTCCGAAAAATGCTTTTCAAGTAGAATGGGGGGGAAATCCAGATATCTTGCACGGAAAACTTGGTAAAATGTATGCCGGCCGGCAAGGTTGAAAGCTATAAAAGATTACGAGGGATATCATACTAAGTATTGATCATCAAAAGAAAAAATAAGCTTGTTAAAAAAATATATTGGGTCCTTTTCACTGAGAGGTTGCAATTGCTTTTGTTTAACAATCATTATTTTGTTATACATATATTGCATTATTTTATGTTAAGATGTTAATTTTCACATATAAAACAGAATAAGATTTAATTCATTGATTAACACGCACATAAGGCATTTTTATTATAAAAAACCAAATGGATACTTCTGGCTTTTGAATATCCATATTTTGGGTATACAAAATATTTGGTCCGGCCAAACTTAAGGCCCTTTTTGCTTTTTTCGCTTAATTATGGGTTTTGAAGACCTACCCTGCATAAACGATCAGCTTAGATCCATAGTTTTTTTTTAGTGAAAATGCATTGCCTAATTTAATTTGGTTTTCAAAATCTCATTTTTTTCCGAATTGATCTGCCTTTAAAAGCTTAGATTTCCATGTAGTGGATGGTATAAATTGTTCGTTCTGGCGAAATATATCCTGCCGCTTTTGTACATGTTAGGTGTTTGAAAGGTCCTGGAGGTTGTTTCACCGATCTGGTGCATTTGTTTTACCTTCATTTTAACTATACTATGTGTGATTTCTGTATGTCAAAATAACAGATCCAACTCCTCGATCTAACGTTATATCAGAAACTTTATATTCCCCAGATTCTTACACATACTTCCAAAAAATTTCTCACAGTTAAAAAACTTTAGAAAAATTCCTGTTTTTATTATGGCAGGATTTTAAATACAGTCGAATTTGTTTATAACGACGGTGAAGGGACCGGCGAAATTGGTTGCTATAAACGATATCAAAATAAAGGCAGAACGTTTCACGACACATATCGTCATAACCGATATGTCGTTGTAAACGATTTCGCCTGAAGTGTATTTTGTAGAGTATGTAAATTTACACACATCCCACTTCCATAATCGAACTATTTTTCTCAGATATTCCTATTCCTATATTTCTGAAATTTCTGCATACAAAAAATATCATATCTCACAAAAATATTCACTGGAAGTACGAACTATTTGCGAAGTACGAACTATTAATTGTTCAAAAAAAAAAAAACAAAAACAATTCATTGCCATCTCAACTGGCAAAAATTCCCTGGAATTTAACAATAAATTGGAAAAAAAGAAGCGTTTCTCCACTTAAGCAATTGGTGTTGTTGTTTTGTTGCCAATTATCTAGCCAATGCCTCGTGTTGTACTATTTTGTCCACAAAAAGAAGTTAGCAGCAGCCATGATGACAACAACAACACAAGTATCTTCAACTCAACAGCCTGCCGCTGAAAAAGAGCGACAAGTTAAACACACAAACCAGAAGATGAAAAAAAAAAGAAAAAAATTAAATAAAGTCATTAAACTATTAAATTTTATTATTTCGCACTCTTCCACTTTGCCACTGTCGTCACACCATAACACAGTAAGAACAACAACAATAATATCTTTTTAAACGTTACAACAACAACACAGTAAAATAGTAGTTAGAAATTAATAATTTCTTTGTTGTTGCTGCTGCTGCTGTTAACAATTTACAAATTTTGGATTATTTATAAACACAAATTTAATAATTGTTGTTGTTTTCTTTATTTCACGGCTTTTGTTGTCGTTGTTGTAATTTTTCTTATTCATTCCATAAGTTTCCGGCTTAACTACTTTTGTTTGGTTTCTTTCGTTACGTTTTTTTTTTTTTTTTTGCTGTTGCTGCCGCTACTGTTGTTTTTGGTTTTCCTACCACTTTTTTCTCACTCTCGAAAACCAGCCAAATAACAACACGAAAAACACAACAAGAAAGACACAAAAAACAGAAAACGAAAAAATATAGACACAAAAAATATCCGTTAAAATAAAATTCGCATTCGTTTCAAAAAAAAAAAAAAAACAGCTGCCAGTCAATCGCCGCCGAAGTGTTTAATGGTTAAATACAAAACAAAAACGCACACACACGAAACCGGCACAAACGGAAAAAGACACGTCTTAACCGCACGAAAGTCTCTCATCAACTAAACTAACAACAACTGAGTCGCCGTCGTCGGCTGTGTGAAGTTTAGTTGTGGATGTCATTTGGGGCTTGGGGCCAACAACAAAACGCAACGAAACCAAACAAAACAAACCAAAGAAATCTCACGGAAACGTACTCAAGTGCTCGTCGGACTCTGTGTCACTGGCTGAGACGGCCACAACCAACATACGAATTCTCACAATGTTTGTCGTCGTTCAGTTATCATTCATTCAATCGTTCGTTCTCTCAGAGTTACTCTCTTTCCGTGGTGGAGACACCATCATTGCATGTCTTAAGACCCCCAAAATAAAAAAATAAAAACAAACTATCGTGGTTTTCAGTTAAATGGTTATGTATGAATGTGTGCGGCAGTTTTTGTTTACCTGTTGGTAAGAAAGATAGTCAATTGCAGGGTTGGGAATGTTATATGTGATTCAGTTGATAATTATTGGACTGATTGAGTGTGTCCAATAAGAATGATTTCATACTCTAACTCTAGAGGTGATATTCTTCGTTTTTATACGCTATATGATTAGAACGGAAAGAATTTTTTAAGGTGGTTTGTTTTCTCTAAAACAGAAATGAACAGTTAGTCATAGTCGAAAGTATCCACTTGGTTTTTTTATAATAAAAGTGACATAAATGCATGTTAATCAATGAATTAAATTTTATTCTTTTTAACTTGTGAACCTGAACATTTCCACTTAAAATTAATTCAATAAAATAAACAGTATTTATGTGAATGCAATATAAAAAATAATGTTTGTTAAAAAATGCAATTACAACCTCACAGCGAAAAGTATCCAAGATAAAAGTTTTTTGACGATTTTTTGAATACTCAGTATGATATACCTTGTTATCTTTTACAACTTTCAACCTTGCCATCATAGATTTTACCAAGTTTTCCGTGTAAGATGTCTGAATTTTCCCCATTCAACATTTGGTATCCTAGAAATGTTATGGCTTCTAATATTTCTCCCAAAATACTCCATAAGTCCTCTATAGGATTCAAATCCGACTGAGGAGGTGTTTGAATCAATTTTGGACAATTATAAAGCATCCATTCTCGAACGATCTGGGATTTGCGTTTGGGGTCATTATCTTGATAAAAATATTATCCATAATTTCTTCAATAAAAACGAGATTTCCTACTCCGGCAGTGCTCATACAACTCCATACCATTACAAAACCTTTATAATTGTTCTTATGGTAAAAATATTGGTATAGACTTCATTCAATTATCTCGGAATTATAAATTTTTTCCTCCTAATATTAGGTTGGGGAACAAGAAATCCATTATTTTTATATGAAAAATAGGACTTTATTTAAAATGCACCGTTTGCTGCATAATTTGTGGCCATTTTAAAGGTAACTTTATAATGCCTCTCTCATAGAAGTCCTGCTCTATATTTGCCAAAAACTGTAGTAGTCGATTTTCACAATCTTCCCTAGATACCAATTCGTATACCCTCCACCATAGTCTGGAGGGTATATTAGTTTTGTTTTCCCGTTTGTAACGCATCGAAATAATCATTTCCGACCCTATAAAGTATATATATTCTTGCATGTAGGTCTGTTTGTTGTAATCAATCTAACGTCTAAACGAATTGATATAGAACGCCAAAATTTTGCATAGAGTCTTTTGTCTGCAGGCAGGTCAAGTTCGATGATGGGCTATATCGCATAGCTTCCATATAAGGGTACACCCCAATTTTCGGTATTTTGGGCTTCTTGAGAGCGTTTTACAACCGAGTTCGCTCAAATTTGGTACAATAGATTATTTTTGGATACCAAATGTCTCCACATTAAATTATAAATATAGTTCCAATATAACGGTACCTCCCAATTTTCAGTTTTTGGAGGTTTTTATCCAAAAATTTCGCCCGAATTAGGTTTAATTTAGAACTTTGAGTTCTTATTTGGTAGCAAATCTCTCCACTTAAAATTATAAATATAGGTCAATTTTTTCGGGTAGCCCCCATATAAGGGTACCCCCCATTTTCAGTGTTTTGGTGTTCTTGAGCGTGTTTTTCAACCGAATTCGCTGAAATTTGTTACTATGAGTTCTTATTAGGTAACAAATCTCTCCACTAAAAATTATAAATATAGGCCAATTTCTTCTGTTAGTCCCCATATAAGAGTACCCCAAATTTTCGATATTTTGAGGTTCTTCAGCGCGTTTTTTAACCGATTTTGCTGAAATTTGGCATTTTGTAGTCGTATATGGTAGCAAATCTCCCAGCCAAAAATGATTAATATTCTCCCCCTTTTAGGGGTAGTCCCCATATAAACCCTTTTTACTTTATATTAAAATAGTTATCCGATTTGTTCCGTGTATTGGGGTTGTGTCCCCATTCTATTCTGCCATAATATGGGGGGTAGTCGTTACAGGGAGTAGTCAGTTTTTACCCTACCAAGACGATTAAGCCATCTGTTGTAATCATCACCCTCAAACCTGACAATAATCTCCTCCATATAATGATACCTCCTGAAGAAAAGAATTAAAAATATAAAAAATTAATGAAAATTGGGTTTAAAATATCATTTACCGGTCATTAATTAGGCTTAACCCTCATATAATGATGTCCCCGAATATTCGCTACTTCCTACACTATGTAATCAATATTTAGGCATAGCCTATATAACTTTGTAATCTAAATTACGTTATCAGTATCGGTCCACGTTTTGGATCTTTCAGATTTTAGGAAAAATCGCCATTAAAAATTGCTCAAATTTGTATTTGTTGTACATTATGGTTTACATAATCTGTTTGTATAGGTCCATGTTTTAGTATGTTCCCTATATATTAATTTCAAATACCTGTCAATATACCTATGGTGGAGGGTATCCAAAGTCGGCCCGGCCGAACTTAGCGCTTTTTCACTATTTTACCAGTGGGTATATATTGTCAATTCCATTGTATATATGTTAAATAAATCCCGATAAAAATTATAATCTACATGCCGTTTAAAACAGTTTTATGGTCGATTTTTAGCTCCTGGGAGATGTTATGGCTGCTAACACGCCGGTCAACTTCGATCATTTCTCCGATTTTATCGATATTTTCGACGACCGGCCTAAAAAATTTATTTTTTCCCAACCTAATAGTTTTTATTGATCGTTACACCCCTTGGCAGTAACACATGAACTTTCCCTTCAATATTCAATACGTATTTTCCATCTCTGCATAGTTGTCACCCATATGTGCTTTCCAGCCCAGTCGTTGTTTGCTGTTATAGGTTTAGGTTATTGTTGTTATTATTACTTCCATTCTACCATGCCATTCGTAATATTTGTCTTTGGGGAGAATATTTCTTTACCAAATGATTCAAGTTGTTTGCTCACACAAGGCAAAAAAAACTAAAAATGTAGAAGGTGAGATACGTGAGGCTAATGCACAATGGGTCATTTTGACATATGACCGTGTAGATTGGTGAGAGAGAATCAGGAGGCATATCAATTTCTTAACTTCAATGCCAAGATACGATTGCACACTACACCATATTGTGGTGCAGGATATCATGTGTTTGAAACATACAATAGAAAACGCTGTATGCCTTGGCTCAGATAATTCATTTGAACCAGGGCGAACTCTATGGATGTTGGTAAAAATCAGTTTTTATATAGCACCCGTAATTCACGTTCGTTCGTCAGCCATTTAAAAATCGGCAAACATTTCAAATCTCTTAATGCCTTTTAAATATTTTTATAGCCGATTAGCCCATTGTGCAAAGTAAACTTTTCAAGAAACTCCATAAAGATACCGTCAATAACAACAACAAAATCCCAAAACAGTGACTATGACAAATAAAAAATGGAAAAAGGGAATAGAACAAAAATCATTAAACGAAAACAAACGAAACCTTTGTACAGGGGCCCACTGCGCTCAGGGGACACAAGCTACAGAACCAACGAACCTCCAAACAAAGCAAAAATGTGTTCTCCCTTTTTGCAAAAAATACCCCATCACCTAACCCAAACCAGACCGGTCTATAATTTACACTTAACAAAGAAGTAAACGACAAAGAAAACAATAACAGCAGCAACAACAACACACAACACAATAAAATCGATACCTAGGAAACAACAAAAATCAAAATCGAAACCAACCACAACAAATCAATACAAAACAAAATGCAACAACAACAAAATAAAAAGGTAAACATCTGTTGTGGGAGCCACTCACTATCTCACCAACGCTGTGGATGTTAAGAGAAAATTGACTTTGGCGAGAGATCCAATGTAAAGAACAAGAAGTTCCACATTGATGTTTTTGTTTTCGTT